TTAATCCAAATTTAATTCAAATTCAAAGGGTAAACATTAAGTGGACCGATTCGTCCGAAGATGGGACGAATAGGTCCACTTCTTCTCATACTGCAGGCACAAGTGGTAAACATATTAAAAACTTGTAAATGTGTAACCCATGTAAAACAAAACATGGACAATGGAAGTACGAAATGGCATACACTCTGGCTGGAGGATGTGGCTAGGATCATAGTGATTTTAGCAAGCGGACATGGATTTTTCTATGATCTATGATAAAACCACAAACCTTCAGCAAAAATCATCCGATCACTTTTTGAGATTCCACAAACACTCGGTTCAGTTGTATCTTCTCGCGACGTAAATCATTGGTCACACATTTTTCTTGATATTAAACCGAACCGAATAAAACAATCGGGAACAACTCTAGTTTAGTAAAAACGATCAGATTTTTCTGAAATTTTTTCCAGAGGTTGGTATTTTTACCCTAAATATGGAGATATCTTTTTTTCTTGGGGGACGTACCCGGTTACCCAGTTATTTGACCCAGAAGTTCGGGTACGGGTACCCGGTTATATCCGGTTCTACGGATCATTTTAAAGGTTATAAAAATACCTTTCCATTGAGTGGTAATATGATGGGATTATCTCAAACCATTTTGGAGATATAGTCAAAAAACTGGGTTTTGGTCCCCAACACCGGCTACGCGACAGAATCTCTTGTTAAATAAAATATTTTTTTCGGGTGACCGGCCTTCGGCCGGTAATTTAAGACTTTTTCCTATGGACAGATGCCAACACCGGCTACGCGACAGAAACTCCTTCTAAGTAGAATATTTTTTGTGTAGCTGGCCTTCGACTTTCTCCTATGGACAGATACCAGCACCGGCTACGCGACAGAATTTTCCTGCTTTTGTAGGGTTCTAAAGCCCATATCTTTTGATCCACAACAGATACAGCCACATATCGCACCATTTCGGAAAGGGCAAATTGTGGTCTATTTGAGAAAATCGGGGACCAAAACCCAGGTTTTTACTATATCTCCATTATATTACCACTCAATGGAAAGGTATTTTTATAACCTTTAAAATGATACCCATATTACATTAACCGGTTCCGTAGATCCGGATATAACCGGGTACCCGTACCCGAACTTCCGGGTCAAATAACCGGGTACGTCCCCCAAGAAAAAAATATCCCCATAATTAGGGTAAAAATACATACCTCTGGAAAAAATTTCAGAAAAATCTGATCGTTTTTACTAAACTAGAGTTAAGCTAAAAATCGTCGTTATGTTATGGTTGGACTGAACTCTTTATACCCTCCACCATGTGGTATGTGTATTGTCTGTTACAATGAAAATTTTCTGATTTTTTCCTTTTATTCGCCCGGAATCCGGAAGCCAACATCCGGATATAACCGGGTACCCGTACCCGAACTTGCGGGTCAAATAACCGGGTAACCGGTTTGGAAATCGGCCAAAAGTATGAACCTAGGACCTATGTCAAAACATGAACCCATGGTACGGAACCTTTATTGTATATAGATTCTGTCGAAATATTGAATATTTAATATTTTCTGCAAAGAAATCATTCATACCTTAAAAACACGGAATGCCAAATTATAGCCTCTTTGCTAAGAAAATTCATCTAAAATCTTCAAAATACCGATAATGAAACTGAACCTTAACCTTAGGCTTATCCTGTGTTGCATATTTTCTGCAAATATATTCTTCAACCTCCAAGTACCCGGATTGCTAAATTATAGAAAGCCTAAATGCCAAAAACCCGTAATACTACAGCACATCTACTACTGTGGCGGAAATGATGAGAGTACCGAATATTGGGCGATATTAATATTACTATCACACTTCAAAGACATAAAGACGGGCATAGCTAAATCGACAGAGAATTTTATACTGTTTTTGATCTCGTCAGTTCACATTTATGGACCATTGTTAATAAAATTTTTGATGTAAGCCCGGTTCTGGCCAAAGATGGGATTGTTGACTTTTAACATAATATAAAAGTGATAGAGGCTAGCGAACTGATATGCGGGATAAAGTAATTTTTTAAGGGCATATACTCATATTTAACCCATGTTAACGTTCAGAACCATGCTCAGAATTTAGCTCAACTGAAAGTTAAACTACAGTTGTCGTGTGGGGTATCATATAATGTGTCCGCTTGTCCCTACTAGTTCGCTATAACCGTACTGCACTCCATGAAAATTGTCATTCCGTTTGCAAATAATCGTTGGAAAAATTCTATGTCGATTTAATCATTCGAAATTTGGCAATATTGGAGATACAGCTTGGAAATTTCGTAAATACATTGCATTGTTTCAACGAAATTCGCTTTAATTTGGCATTTTGAACGAAATTCGCTTTAATTTGGCATTTTGAGTTCTCAGTGGGTATACAATTTTCCTACAACAAATTCTCAATATAGGTATATTTTATAGTAGTTCGCATGTAACGGTGCCTCAAATAGTGGATTTTTTGGAGTTTTTGAGCACGGTTTTTAACAGAATGGATTCAAATCTCTGGAGACACCATTCTATGAAAAGAGTTATGTCGATTTAGCCATACTCGTCGGTCAACTTTTTAGGGTACCCGACAATATTCTTTATTTTGAAGCTTTTGAACACATTTACAACAAACTTCGCTTTAATTTGGCATTTTGGGTTTTCAATGTGTCAACAATTTTCATACTAAAAATTCTCGATATTGGTCCATTTTTTATGGGGTAGTCCCGTATAAAGTACACCTCAATATTAGGTATTTTGAAGCTTTGGCAAGTTTTTTCAACATAATCTAATATGATATTAGGATCATTGAAAGCATGATAATTGACCAGACATTGACCCATGTTTTGGGGTGGCCCGCATGGGGTAACCCTAGTAGTTTAACCAAATTGTCTGTAATGTTATATTTTCATTGAGCAAAATATCTCTCACCTATTCGTCGACTATACAGCCGCATTCGACAGCCCTATCCGTTCAGAGCTGTATAAAGCCATGTCTGCGACATAATGGGTCGAACATTGAGAGCGGTAACAGCCACCTTTGAACAAATGTAGAAGGAGTCTGCCAAAGTGGGTCTGGCAGTAAATGGCGAGAAGACCAAGCATGGTATCAACGCGCAAGACGTCCAGTAGACTCGGACCAACTGTGGAACTTGAGAACTACAGCTTCGAGGTAGTCAAAGATTTTATATACCTTGGTACTGCCATAAATAAAACGAATGACATCAGTTTTGAGATTCGGAGAAGGATAGTGCTGGCCAACAGATGCTACTATGGTCTGAGCAAACAAATCAAAAGCAAGGCCACTTCCCGCCAAAACAAACTCACACTCTACAAGACGCTGATACTACACGTGCTGTTATATGGATCTGAAGAATGGGTACTTACGAAAGCAGATGAAGCAGTTCTTGGAGTGTTTGAGAGAAAAATTCTCCGAAAGATCTATGGGCCGATCTGCGTTGACGGTGAATGCCGCCGTCGAATGAACCATGAGTTGTACCAGCTATTCTCGGACATCGGCATTGTTAGACGTATTGAACTGCAGTTAGACGTATTGAACGTTGGCTAGGTCATGTTGTAAGAATGGATGAAGATGCCCCAGCCCAGAAGGCATATAAAAGCGAACCAGCTAATTATTCACGCAGAAGGGGAAGACCATGAATAAGATGGAAAGATCAACTGCGCAAAAGACCGACGCGCCTGGAAATCTTTTTTAAGCTCGGCTTATGGAACGAAAGTTTTGTCACAAGTCAGCTAAGTAAGTAAAAAATCTCGCTATCAAAAATGATCAATATTGACCAAGTTTCCGGGTAGCCACCATATAATGGTATTTTATTCAATATTTTGGGACATTTGGGTTCTCATGAGTTGCTCAATCTTCTTATCAAAACTTTTCAATATAGCTTTATGTTTTGGTATGGCTTTCATATACCGGTACCAGTCCATATGGAAGTCTTTAACAAAATTTTCCCACAGTTGTGTATAACGGTTTTTGAAGGCTGACATATACATATTCAGATAATGATCAATATAGGTCAATATTTTGACATAGCCCCCAAACAAAGGAAAGGTCCCCATTGTGACAATTGTAAAGGTTTGTTTTTGCCGTATTTTCCCATTTTTGTGTCTGTAATTGGAGGGTAAAACACGTCATTGCCAAAAATGTTCTATATTGGTCCAAGTAAAATATAGCACCCACATAAAAGTCCTGACTCATTTTCACTATTGTAAAGTTTTTAACCTACATTTCTCATCGAATTGGCCCCCACATGTAACATGTCGGATTCCTGGTGAATAAAAAACCAGAAATTATTTAAATAAACCCTTAAAATGTCCAGTTTTTTTTGCGGTACGTTAAAATTCCAACCGCAGTTTTCCAACCTCAGTGTCTGAAATTTGAAAATAATACCCATATAAAGGTCCATATTGATTTAAAGAAATTTGAATGCACGCGCCGTTGCGGAGGGTATAAACAATTCGGCCTGGTCGAACTCTACGACGATTTGACTTGTTTTACTCCCATTTTGTCTATGTGGTTGTAATTGTTGTTTTTTTATTCCCATGCTAAATTCTTTTATGTCTTTCAACGGAAAAAATCTGCATACTCTTGCAGATTATAGATTTTTAATTAATTTCATTTGATTGGAGTTTTCCGCATATAGGAAAACAAGTACGTGCATTCTGTTGTTGCTATTGTAGATGTTGGATAGGCAAGAAAAAAAGTTTTTCTTTTTCAAATTCAAGGATTTCGATGCATTTTTTTGTTTTCATTGGAAACAGAAATATTTTCCACCATCAATGAATGGTGGTGGCTGCTGTGTAATTTCGTAGAATAAAATGTAAAAAAATTAGACCCTCTTAATACGTTTATGTTGAATGATATGTTTCTTTCGGCGAATTGAGGCTTTCGATATATTATACAATATATATATATATATGTATATATATATATATATATATATATGTAATACAATACTGGTGTTCTTGTTGGGCTTACCTCTCCCTTTTCAGTATCGGGCATACCATTGGAGGTATAGAATTGTACTCCAGGTTGATTACTGGCAATTTCCAACCAACGGCCATTGGGGGGATAAAAGACTCTACAAATAATTTTATATGGAATTGAAGAGAAATTGTATCGAGAATTGAAAATTAAAAAAAAAATCTGTTACATTTTAACTTACTTTCCAATAACATTAATACGATTGCCATCATAATTTTTATCCGCACAATAGTTGTCATCATAACCATTGGTGGGCAATAAGTTCTTTATGCCTTCACCCAGATTGGTCATCTTCCTGACATCGTAGGCGGTACCTTCGACAGATGTAAAATTACCAGTCGGTATGGAGTCATCATCGGTTTCGGTTATTTTATCAGCATTAATCATTACCTCATGTCCATAGATGGCTTCCTTGCCAGCTGCCTGCCGAAGAAAGAAAAACAGAAGCAATTTAATTCTTGTTCCCACTTTGTAACGAATTTAATTAGGTAATTTGGATTGTGGAGCATCGATCAACATTTTCTTTTATATGACAGGTGTCATATTACTACATTCCATTATTTGCCAATTAATGGCTTACGATAATTTTGTGGTATTGATTTTATCTATGGGTATTACTTAGATACATATTGTTGCGGTTAAACACGTGTCTCTTTCACCACGATTGCGGTTATCTAATGACAATGTAAGTCGATGATCTGTTTTTCGAAGTTGATTGTAGGAAAGTGCTAATGATGTTTATAAATCGGTAATTATCATCTTGGTGTGTAAAGATAAATTGACTGCTTAGTATTATTCATACAAAATTTGAGAATGTATAATAATTTAAATTTTAAAAGGGGTAATTACGTGACTGAGTTTTCTGTAAACAATTGTCGGAAGTTCGAAGGAATGGAATACTAGATAAAGTCCGAAGATGAAACCCATTGGCCCACCCTTTCTGGTACTTTCCCAGAAATGGTCTTTGAAAAAAATGTACCTATCTTAATATATAAAATAGATTTGTGTTAAGTGAGTGAGTGACTGACCGACAGATCATCGCCCAGACGAAACGGCTAAAGCTAGAAGCTTGAAATTCTGAGTGTGGGTTGTTGTTGGTGTGTAGGCGTGAGTGGAAATTCGAACTAGAAGGGTACGAAAAGTACTAAATATGGTACCCTTTGTATTAGGCGAACGGGAAGAGCTAAAAATTTAGAATGTCGGTCACTGATGCGAAGCTAGAAAGATGTACAAAAGGGTTTTTGGAAATTCGACCTATAAGTGTACGAAAGGAAGGAGCATTTCGAAAAGCTTCTAGTATCAAATAGTGGCGATGAAGAAGATACCCCAGAACCAATAAGAGATGATGGTATAGAGTGTATACCACCTAGCCAAGATGAGGTCATAAAAACAATTATTCGGCTCAAAAACAATAAAGCAGCAGGAGCCGATGGGTTACCAGCCGAACTATTCAAGACTGGTGGCCAGATGCTGGTCAGGAGCACGCACCAGCTGATTAGCACAATTTGGCTAGAAGAATGCATTCCCAATGATTGGAACCTCAGCATCCGGTGTCCCGTGCACAAAAAAGGAGACAAGACGATATGTGCCAACTATAGAGGAATAAGTCTCCTTGCCATCGCATATAAGGTACTATCCAGTGTGCTGTGTGAACTATTGAAGCCAATGGTCAATGGCGTTATTGGGCCATACCAATGCGGCTTCAGACCTGGCAAATCCACCATTGACCAGATTTTCACTCTGTGCCAAATATTGGAAAAGACCCACGAAAAACATATCGACACACACCACCTATTCGTCGACTATAAAGCCGCTTTCGACAGCCCTATCCGTTCAGAGGTGTTTAAAGCCATGTCTGCGTTCGGCATTCCTGCAAAATTAATACAGCTATGCAGGATAATTTTAAGTGGCACAAGGTCAGCAGTTAAAGTAGGAAAGGACCTATCGGAGCCCTTCAATACCGAACGTGGATTCAGACAAGGTGATAGTTTGTCGTGTGATCTTTTGTCGTGGAAAAGGTCATTGCAAGCGGTAACAGCCACCTTTGAACAAATTGAAAAGGAGTCTGCCAAAGTGGGTCTGGCAGTAAACGGCGAGAAGACCATGCTGATGGTATCAACGCGCAAGACGTCCAGTACACTCGGACCAACTGTGGAACTTGAGAACTACAGCATCGAGGTAGTTAAAGACTTTATATACCTTGGTACCGCCATAAATAAAACGAATGATATAAGTTTTGAAATTCGGAGAAGGATTGTGATGGCCAACAGATGCTACTATGGTCTAAGTAAGCAGTTTAGAAACAAGGCCACCTCCCGCCATACCAAACTCACACTTTACAAGACGGTGATACTACCCGTGCTATTATATGGATCGGAAGCATGGGTACTTGCGCAAGCAGATGAGGCAGCTCTTGGGGTGTTTGAGAGAAAAATTCTCCGAAAGATCTACGGGCCGATCTGTGTCGACGGTGAATATCGGCGTCGAATGAACCATGAGCTTTACAATTTATGCGCGGACATCGACATAGTCAGTCGTATTGAGCTGCAGCGACTACGGTGGCTAGGCCATGTTGTGCGGATGAATGAAAATGCCCCAGCTCAAAAGCCATATAAAAATGAGCCTACTGATGGTTCCCGTAAAAGGGGAAGGCCACGAATTAGATGGAAAGACCAAGTAGAAAACAACATATTGGAACGTGGTCTTACAAATTGGTGGACTTGCGCACAAGACCGACGCGCTTGGAAATCTTTTTTAAGCTCGGCTTATGGAACAACCGTTCTGTAACAAGCCAGCTCATTAAGTAAGTAAGTGTACGAAAGGTACTAATTTTTACTACATTTGGGTGTATATATATATATATATATATATAGAAACTTGAAATTTTATATGGAATTCAGGTTGGAAACTGGTATTAATGTAGGGATGTGGTTTCAATAAATCGTACTTATTTGTATACAAAGTACAAAATGGTACTGAATTTGGTGCAAGTTGGATTAATTGGGAATTATAATGACTGTTGTTGTGTAGGATTGAAGTCGTTCGGGAAATTCGTATTTTTTGGAAATTCGTAATTTACGAAAAGTACTTTATGGTACTAAATTTTGTAGAATTTGGATTTTGCTTGAAAGGATAGAGCTGAAACCCTGAAATTTGGAATTAAGATTACTATTGAAGATTGAGAGACATAGAGACATTTTTTGGAAATTCTTATTTATGTGTACGAAAAGTAGTAAACGGCACTAGGTTTGGTACAATTTGGAATTGGTTGGACGGAGACATAGATACCTAAAATTTAGAATAATGGCTGCTGTTGAAAGATAGAATTGAGATAGTAGGGGAGACTGGGGCACCTTCGGCACTTTTTTTTAGAGCTCTATATCTCAGTACTTATTCAACATATATTAAAACTTTATGGCTGATTATTGTCCTCAGACACTTAATTATAAAAAATAGTACCAAAAAGATATAAAAAAATAGTATTAGTTAAAAAATTTTACAGTTTTGTAAAAAAAGTCAAATTCGCCGAATGTGCCCCAACCCGGGGTAGCTTCGGCATTTGATGGGGCACATTCGGCACTATATTCTTAGCCGGGTAATTGTCATCGCTATCAGTCTGGTTGAAATTCGGATCCTATAAAGGCTCTATTTGGTTTAATACGCCACACAATGTTTGAATTATAGGGCTTTATTTTCTAACGGCGTACGTTTACATCTTAAGCTCACACACAACATCAGAAATAAGGGTTTTCTATCGCATTTTCGTCAATACAAGCACGTTTGATTTTATGTGTGCAATTTCGAACCATATTAAAGGATTAGTTTTAAAGACAAACTCAAAAACATTTTAAGGAAATAATATTGCACAATCTGTATATGGCCGAATGTACCCCACTTTAAAATGCCGAATGTACCCCGAATGTACTTTTTATAGTTTTTTTCATTTTTTTCGATCAGTTTTTAAAAACATTATATTTTTAAACATTTCTATAATAATACACATCGTAGTTAACCACTTTTTAATAATATTGTCTTAAAAATTTAAAAAGTTTTATACGCGAAATACTTACGAAGTGGAATTGAAATATTACAGAAACATCTATAAAAATACAAAAACCTGTGTATCTAAATAAGCTTCTTAGCTAGAAATTTCAAACTTTGTGTCAGTTATTTATTTCGATATTCGATACCTATGTATCGAAACTAGTGATGTACGGTGAGAGCTTCATATCGAAAAGTAGTCTCCCCTACTTATGTGTACTATGTGGTACTATATTTGGTACAAATTGATTATGTGTGAACGGATAAATTATAGCAAGAAGAAAGTACCCAAAAATACCCATATCTGAAACCACATCTATACAAAGTGGTGGTCCTGTTAACTTATAATATATTTTTTTTTTTTTTTTTTATTTTTTTCGTGCGTTCCCACGCCTCACTTTCCCACCCCTGCCGACCGAGGGGGCGACCTCCCCTTTCGTAGGGATCGCGTACGCATCATAATCCGCATTATGATGGAATATGAGAAGGGATAGAAAACCAGCTACAGAAATCTACTTCAACAGCCAGTTAGTTATTAAGTTGTATTATTCATTTAAAAATATGATTATATTAGATTTTATTAGGTCTATATTCATGCAAAAGTCTACGTTAGAATACACAGAATTGAAATCAATACACATTTTACTAAGTGGATCTCCCATAGAATAATTTGTGCGATGAAAATCTACGTATAATGGTTGATAATATCTACTTGATCGAAAAGGAACATTTATTCTAATGGATGAAATTAGGAAGTCTGAGGGTATATTACCGCTTAGTATTTTAATTACTATCATAGTGTTCAACATAATACGTCTACTTTTTAATGTTGGCAATCGAATTAATTTTAACCTGCTAGTGTAAGAAGGCAACACAAAGTCACTATTCCAATGTAAACCTCTCAGCGCAAAAATTAGAAATTGTTTCTGCACTGATTCAATTTTATCGGAATAAATTGTATATTGGGGATCCCATACAACAGAACCATAACTATAAGTCCATATAACACTATATGCCCATAGACCGAGGGTACATCTCTATAGACTAGGCGATTCTAACGTGCTAATTAAAATTTTGCGGCAAATCAGTTTTACAACAAATAAGCACACAGTTGACTCCTAGTCGGTATTCTGATTTTATATATTTTAAACGACTTGAACTTTTCCCCTACCCTATTTCACTCCTATTTATTGGTTTTGTTGTTTCTGTGTGACTCATTAATGTTTTTCTTAGTCATCCATCAAATTCAGTTTAGGGGGGGACTTTTAAATTACATTTAAATACCATTGATTTTGATTTGGGGATTATGAGTATTTCTCATCTAAGGGCATTGTCATCATTAATTAAATTATGTAATTTTGATATCATAAAAATGACATAATCTCTGCATATTACATTGATTTTTAAATAACACAACGGATTGGAAAGGGGATTACATTTTAAATAAAATTTTAATGTCACACTTAAAAAGGGGTTGACGACCGACCATTGTTTTAAGTAAAGGGGATTCGTAAAGGGAACTTAGAAATTCATCTGAGGACAGGCGTGGTTAATAAATGCTTGTAGAAGGAGAAACTTCTGATTAACTATAAAAAGAATTACTTATATCCTACAAAAATAACTTTTAATCTAAAAAAACGTCACTCATAAGAAGGCCTTATAATCTTCGATAAGCAAAATTAAATAATCTTCTTAAACGAAGACCACCCCGCCTTCCTTAATAATATCTGCCTGAAGATTTACTGATTATCTACAAAAAAACCTTCCGGCATCCTTCTATAAAGTATAAAAGGTCCTTGTGATCTTCTATAAGAAGGAAATATTTTTGGTCTTCTATAGGAAGGACTTCTGGTCTTCTATAAGAAGACTTCTTATCTTTTATAACATGTTTGCTCTTAGCTTTTGAAAACGATTATTGAAGTCACGCTACATTGTAATCGCATTGTTTTTCTAAAATTCAATTTTAAAAACTTCCGAAGGGTTTTCATTTGAATAAAAATTTGACTAACCAAATTTTATTTGCCCATGACAGCGTTATAAATCTGATTAAAGGGTGTTCCTTTCAATATAGATTGAAATTTATCTATAGAAGAAATTAGGAAGAAAGGATAAGCATACTATTCAACTTATCAATGAAGCCAATGAACAAGTATATGACGATAATATAGAATGTAATATATTCAATGATTACTTTTTAAATATTCCCAAAATCTTGAAAAACAAAATTATTCATACGGATGGTGACAACATTAACAAGTTCTGTACCTTAACAAGATGCGCATCAACTTTTTCGTTCAATATTGAAAGCAGAAATAATATTATGAGCCTTATCGAAACCGCTGATAATGGCAAAAGTCCTGGTCATGATGAAATATCAGGTAAAATTTTAAATACATCTAAAAATTATATTTGGGAGCACCTATTATTAAATTTCAACAATATGCTAAACAAGTGTATATATCCAGATGTTCTTAAAATAGCTAAAATTGTACCAGTACCGAAACTGCCAAATGCAAATAAAGCATGTGATTTTAGGCCAATAGCTTTGTTGTCATCATTTGATCAAATATTTGAGAAACTGTTGCATAAACAGCTCTCAACATATCTTGAACAGACTGGGCAGGTGTATCCAATGCAATTCGGGTTTCGGAAAGGAAGCGGAACGCAGGATGCTGTAGTCAATATTGTAAATATGATTTGTTATGGCTTGGATGCAAACTTTGGAGGAGTTGGTGCAGTGTTCTATGACCTTTCTAAAGCTTTTGACCTTGTAGATCACACAATATTGCTGTCTAAACTTCCATATTATGGGATTAGTGGTAATGCGTTGCAACTGATTAGAAGTTATATTACGAATAGAAAACAATTTGTTGAAATTAATGGTGCAAAAAGTAAAACTCGGACTGTGGAGTATGGTGTACCACAAGGGAGTGTTCTGGGACCGCTGCTGTTTACTTTATATGTTAATGATATATCCAATATGAATCTGTATGGAAAATTAGTTCAATATGCGGATGATATTGCCCTACTATATCCATATCATTATATTGCTATTTTAAAGGGACAAATGGAACAGGATGCTGCTAAAATTATGGGTTACTGTAGAGTAAACAAACTTGTAATAAATACAAATAAGACAAAAGTGATCAGATTTCGACCTCGATGTCCACAATATGATCAAGAATTTCATATACAAATTGGAGATTTAAAAATTGTTAAGTGCCAAATGTTAAAGTATCTTGGCATACATATGCAAAATAATTTGGCATGGAATGTACATATGGATGAACTAAGAAAAAAAGTTGCGCCTGCTATTGGTATCCTAAATAAATTCAGAAATACATTTAATGTAAAAACGAAACTTTTGTTATATAATTCACTAATTCAAAGTCATTTTAACTATTTGGCAATGATATATGCACATAAAAATAATATTTACTTGAAATCATTGCAAAGTACTCAAAATAAAGCACTAAAAATTGTTTTCAACTTGTCGAGATTTTACCCCACAACAGAACTCTACAAACATATTGCAAAAATTATTCTCCCTATACATGGTACTTATAAACTTCAAGTGCTGACATATATGTTTAAAGTTATCCATGATATCGGCCATCGGTCAATACAATTTGAAATTAGTCAAACGCTTGTCAATACGAGGAATAATTCTGTTTTAAGAGTAAAAAGATGTCGTTTGGAATTAACGAAACAAAAAATTGAGCATAATGGATGTTTATTTTTTAACCACCTGTCCAATAATATAAAAAATATAACAAGAATTTCATTATTTAAAAAAGAGATAAAGTCATTTTTATTAAGTAATATTGAAATGCTTCTAACGTAATTTTTTAACGTAATTTATTTTTTAATGTTATTTATTTTTTTATCAATATTTTTTTCATATGATAAAACACGTATTTTGATTTATATTATAAACCAATTCGCCTCAATAAGGTCTTGAAGACGCTGAGGCAAAACATACATATTGTAATAATATATATTTAAAATAATAAATAAAAAAATAATCAGGAAGATAAATCAGATGCTTGGTACAGGGTGTTTCAGATAATTTATTTCTCGTCTTAATGTTAAGGAAAGAGAACCAGCTGCTTATACAGGCTATTCTCAACAAAATATTTTTCTTTAAGAGTCCCAGAAACATTAAGCGGTTGTTCACAGAAGTTTACAAAAAAATTGCATATTCGTTTCCCCTAACAAATGAACAGCAAGAAAAATCAGCTGTTTTCAAAGGGTGCTTCGGGCAACTTTGGTAAATTAAATACAACATAAATGTTTACACGAAACGCCAAAGAAAATTACATGATGGTCAGAAGTTTCTACAGGGACCTGTTAGGATTTTAAATCGACATTTTAACTTCTTATAGAAGACCAGAATGTCTTCTTGTAGAATACCAAAAGGTCTTGTTATAGACATTCTGGCCTTTACAAAAAGACATTCTGGTATTCTAGAAGAAGTCCTTCTGGTCTTCTACACGAAGTCCTTTCGGTATTCTATGAGAAGATCAATAGATGACCTGAAAGTCTTACATTTTTGAGAAAAACAGTTTGTCTTCTATGAGAAGACCTTCTGGTCTTACAGAAGTATCCCTTCGGACCATTTAGGTTTAAATTAAATACAACATAAATGTTTACACGAAACGCCAAAGAAAATTACATGATGGACGATGGTCAGAAGTTTCTACAGGGACCTGTTAGGATTTTAAATCGACATTTTAACTTCTTATAGAAGACCAGAATGTCTTCTTGTAGAATACCAAAAGGTATTGTTATAGACATTCTGGCCTTTACAAAAATACCTTCTGGTATTCTAGAAGAAGTCCTTCTGGTCTTCTACAAGAAGTCTTTTCGGTATTCTATGACACGATCAATAGGTGACCAGATTGTCTTAGATTTTTTGAGAAAAACAGTTTGTCTTCTATGAGAAGACCTTCTGGTCTTACAGAAGAAACCCTTCTGGTCTCCAAGAAGAAAGCCTTCTAGTTTATATGAAAATATCTTTTGGGGATCTATAAGAATACTTTGTGTTAGTGGTCCTTAAGCAGTCCTTATTCATATTTCCCACCTTAAAAATGTCCCGGAAACAAAGCTCATGCTTAACAATAAAACAAATATATCTATTTTCCAGATTTCCTAATACAATTTGAATAAAATTGCAATGGGGTGTTTTATAAAATTGACATTTTCAATTTGCAACGGTTATCGAATCGTATGCGTGGTGCATTTCAATGAAGCCATCCGCTTCCACTAAGCTGCACAATGTCCGAACATGTTCGATTGTTGGTGACATGCTGGTCATAAATCTTAGTCTTATGTTTGCGATGTTTTTCTTTTGTCCACCTTATGCGGAAAAATTCTTCGACATGTGTTTTTTTGCTCCGTGTATAACCTGTCCGTACAGGTTTGCTTGTCCTAAACCCCCACCCCCTTCCATCCCTCTTTCTGGTGCTGATAACATTCTAACATATTCTTCCGACAATTTCAATTTCATTTGAATTCCCTACCATTTCCTATTTGCAAAAGAAGATTTTATCGTGTGTTCTGTTCTGTTGCAATCTAATCCTCAACTCAATCATGGCAAAACTATTGCCGAGGCCGAGCAGAGTAACATATGTGCTCAATGCCCCGGCAACTAGCCAAGCAAACCATTCCTTCATTGTCGTCATCATGTGTGCATGTCATTTTCCAACTGCAGCACAGCCGGAAAAAATATGCCTTAATCTGAAAACGTAATGCGAATAGCATCAATCGATTCGATTTGAATCGAATCGTCGTACTTACATGTCCGGCCAAATTGAAATAGCTATGATTTGTCATATTGACAGCCGTTGTTTTGGTCGTCTTTGCCTGCATCAGCAGATGTAGACAATTGTCCTCGGTCAATGAGATTTTGACTGTTGCGGTTACTTCGCCCGGATATCCTTCATGGCCATCCGGTGAACAATGCTGAAGTGTTACACCGTCTTGATGGCGGCCCACCACCGACCAGTGGACTTTGTCGAAGCCAATAAAGCCGCCGTGCAATTGGTGTTTGTTGTTCAGGTTACGAGAGACCTGTATCTCTTGACCGTTCAGCGTGAAACGACCGTTGCCAACACGATTGCATACACGGCCAACGGTAGCACCGAAATATGGATTTGTTGACGTTTGATAACCTGGAAAAAGACCAACAAAAACAACAGAAAAAAATCAACTCTCATTTCAAAAAAAGCAATTCAGAGGAAACGATGATAAAAGCAATTCGAAGATGCATAATGAACGATATGGTTTTCTTCTGGCGATGGATTAGAGCGGATCAAATCTGCATGGTGGTGCTAATGTTTATTTGATTTTGAAGTTTTTTTTTAGAATGGTTTGGAACATTTAGCAAATTTAATCAGAAAGACTCGCTAATTGAAATTATGGAATGGGAGCTTGAAATTGTCATTTTGCAGACAAATTAATAAAGGCCTTGGAAAATTATTCGCCTTTTGTAAGGCCTTGAAAAAATAATCTTTAAAAATCCACGCCGTTTGTAAGGCCTTGAAAAGATATTCTTTAAAAACGCCTCTTGTAAGGCTTGAAAAAATATTCTTTAAAAAATCCACATCTTTTGTGGTGTCACCTGGGGTACCTATTTTCATCACCCGATGAAATAGTGAGCAATATGTGCCGCCAGTTCACCCATAAGAACTATAAAAAATGGGTTGAGGCATCGGGTTAGTTTCCCACACTCTTAAAACCGTACCTACTATGAAAAAGCTAAGAAAAAGAAAACCGCACCCACCTAATGTTGACGACCCCCGCAAACGATCTGCAATTGGAATGTGCGCTCGTTGTACAGAACAGCCGCAGTGTTCGCTTTGGCGTATGTACTCAAGAAGTACATAGCCGATATTATTGCCTTACAGGAAATGCGATGGGAAGGGACTGGCGTAAGTAAATCAGAAGATTACGCCCTGTATTATAGCTGCCATGAAACGAGACATGCATTTGGCTATGGATTTTTTATTAACAAGAGAATAAAAGACCTTGTCTCTAGATTCACTCCAGTAGATGAGCGAATTGCTATAATCCATATCTCATTTGCGCCCATGCTCCGACCGAAGATAAAGATGAGCAGACCAAAGACATACCGTTGCCCTAGCAATGAGGAAATTCTGCTAAGAGATTTTAATGCAAAAATCGGAAGGAAAAATATCTTTGGTCCCGCCGTCGGAAAATTCAACAATAGGCTTCTGCTACTCCGCTCAACTTACCCAACTGTTTGACGAAAGCACCCCTTGTCCCGATAATAATATAGAAGCACCGTGGCAGAGAATTGCCCACTCCCTACAAATTCCAGCAAAAGCAACACCACCATCAAGAAATCCGTGGTATGATCAGGAGTGTCGTAATGCTACTGATATGAAAAACGCAGCGTATAGGGCAACCCTGCGGACAGTAGCAACACATAATGCGATGGAGAACTATCGGGAGAAAAAGAGAGAGGAGAAACATATTTTTAGAAAAAAGAAGGAAGAACAAAGAAAACGTGAGCGTGAGCTAATCGAGATGTACAGGAGTCAGAATGTAGTCCGAAAATTCTACCAACGGGAAAAACATTAAACCGAAGGCTTTGGTGCAGGCTAATCCGCCTGTAGAGAAGGAAGAAGGAAACCTGGTGACAGATACAGACAGCGTGCTGAGTATCTAGAAGGAGCATTTTGAAACACTTCTGTTAACAAATAGTAGCAGTGAAGTGGATACCCCAGAACCAATAACATATGACGGTATAGAGTGTATACCACCTAGCCTAGATGAAGTCAGAATAGCAATCAATCGGCTGAAGAATAATAAAGCAGCAGGTGTCGATGGGTTACAAGCCGAACTAATGAAGACTGGTGGTCAGATGCTGATAAGGAGCATACACCAGCAGATTAGTACAATTTGGCTAGAAGAATATAAACTCAATGATTGGAACCTATGTGCCAGCATCTATAAAGGTGTGTGTTGAGTGAACGATTGAAGCCAATGGTCAATGACATTATTGGACGTGCACAAAAAAGGAGCCTTTTGTCCTATCCGTTCAGAGGTGTATAAAGCCATGTCTGAATTTGGCATTCCTGAAAAATTAATTCGGCTATGCAGAATAATTTTAACAGGCACAAGATCAGCAGCTAAAGACGGAAACGACCACTCGGAGCGCTTTAATACTGAACGAGGATTCAGCCAAGGTGACAGTTTGTCGTGTGACCTTTTTAACATCCTGCTGATAAAGGTCATACGAGAGGCAGAAGTGAACAGAAATGGCACTCTGTACATCAAACAACACATGTTACTCGCCTGCGCCGATGACATCGACATAATGGGTCGAACATTGCGAGCGATAACAGCCACCTTTGAATTGAGAAGGAGTCTGCCAAAGTGGGTCTGGCAGTAAACGGCGAGAATACCAAGCTGATGGTATCAACGCGTAAGACGTCCAGTAGACTCGGACCAACTGTTGAACTTGAAAACTACAGCTTCGAGGTAGTCAAAGATTTTATATACCTTGGTACCGCCATAAATAAAACGAATGACATCAGTTTTGAAATTCAGAAAAGGATGGTGATGGCCAACCGATGCTACTATGGTCTGAGTAAGCAACTCTAAAGCAAGGCCACATCCCGCCAGACCAAACTCACACTCTACAAGACGCTGTTGCTACCCGTGCTGTTATACGTTTCTGAAGCATGGGTACTTACGCAGTATCTGAAAGTGTTTAATGCGAGTACCTGCCCATAGGCGTACCTCGCAGTTTCTGAGCCACAGGCGGATATGCGCCCACCAGCGCACCAGGACCAAAGTGCTGTACCAATTGGAGAGCATGCAGAAGGCATACTCTCCCCTTGGTAAGGGACGAAACCACAACCACTTACGCAAGCAGATGAGGCAGCTCTTGGAGTGTTTGAGAGAAAAATTTTCCGAAAGATCTATGGGCCGATCTGCGTTAACGGTGAATATCGCCATGAGTTGTATCAGCTATTCTCGGACATCTACATTGTTAGACGTATTGAGTTGCAGCGACTACGTTGGCTAGGTCATGTTGTGAGAATGAATGAAGATGCCCCAGCCCAGAAGGCATATAAAAGCGAACCAGTTGATGGTTCACGCAGAAGGGGAAGGCCACGAATAAGATGGAAAGATCAAGTGGAAGATAACATTGCGGAATATGGTCTTTCATTGCGGAATATGGTCTTTCAAATTGGAAAAACTGCGCAAAAGACCGACGCGCCTGGAAATTTTTTTTAAGCTCGGCTTATGGAACGAAAGTTCTGTCAGAAGCCAGCTAAGTAAGTAAGCATGTTGAAAAAATATTCTTTAAAAAATCCACGCCTTGGATGGATGGTCCTTAAAAATATATTTGGTGGTCCTTGTAAAAATATTCCATACCTATCCACCCCACTGTTGCCACTGCTGGTGGCAGCGACACTATTTATTAAATTAACAAAGTGATGTCTCACTTTAAATTCATTTTGACTCAACATCACATTATTTGTTTTTCCTCCCAACAATATATGACAAATTATTATGACAGTAAGTTTTTTCGAACATAACCCCCGTCCCTTTTTTGTTCATAAAATTAAGTTGCAACGCAGTTCCGTGTTTTTTGGTCTGCATTTATTTTGTTGCTTCAAAACCGGCACCCACTACATCCGGCTACAAGAAAATCTTAGATATATATTTTTTGGCAGCCACTGCAGTGCAATGTTCGTAGACAACAACAACAAAAATTGTTGCTACCAACCAAAAAAGGGATGGAAGCATCCCACCATCAATGTTTTGCTCGTTTTACAAATCATTTCTCGTGCAAAGGGTTTGGCTGGTTGTGTATGGGGCAGTGGTTGTGGCCGCCGTTACTGTTGATGTTGCCGGCTACTACTGCTATTCTGTTGAAATTGCCGTTGGCGGTAATGTTGCAAATCTCCAGAAGGCAACAAAACAAGTGGTTCGCAACAACGACAGCAAAACAAAAAAACACAAACCTTCCTCTCCGCTGACCATTGCTTACGAAATGAAAGGATGTTGGATGTGGTCGTGGGTGGAATGTTGGATACCACCACTGCCTCTTGTTTTTTTTGTCCCACTCTTTTACAAACGGAAGTGGTCATTGTAAAACTTGACGATGACGATGTGAACGACAACACACCATGATGATGAGGAAGATGACGTTTACCCTGTCTTCATAGAACACTGTTGGTGGTGTTGTTTGGCTGGCCAGCTGTCTGGCTAAGTGGGTGAGAGTTTAATGAAAAGAGCAAAAGAATATGTTCCAATGAATCTCTGTGTGAGTCTGGGTGTGAGTGTGTGCGGGTGTGCCTTTGTGTGTTTGAATTGTTGCTGCTGAAAATCAAAACGGTAGCAAAAATCAACACCAACGGCTACGGCAACCATGACAAACAATGGTGGCTAGAAAATGAACTCTTTATGTCAAAAAAATTATTTCTACTCGGGGTGAAAATTCTTTGGAAAAAACGTATACACACATGCATACAAACAGACAATGCAATTATATGTTGAAACGAGGCGGGGTTTTAGTTATTGGTTAGGTGAGGTTAAATAAAAAATATTTTTTCGAATTATATAAGCACTATCTCTAGGAACTCAAAATTTACGAAGCATCAGAACCATTTTTCATAATTACTATGTCCTTTTAGAATATCCTCCCCTTGATTAGCAAGTCAAAATTTAAAAATTATACCTTTCATTGCAATTGATTATATCATCCGATATTACTACCTCCGATTCCCTTAAATTCATTGCCCTCACCCTGTCATAAAATTTTCAAATTTGTCAAATTTTATACCACCAAAAAAACAGAACAGGAAACCCAGCATTCCGCACTTATGTTTGCTGAAGTGTAACGAAAAATATGTTTATTTTTCCCTTCACCCTCCTCCCTCCCCCCTCAAATACTTGGTTTTTTGTGCATTGAGGTTTTATTGGCTTTGGCATGATGCAGTTTTCTGTTCAGTTACTGTCTCCATAATACCTACCTCCATCCACCGTCTTCTTTGTTGCAGAGTATATACACCCCCACTCAGACCTCAAAATAAAACAGAGGATCCACAAGTGGTAAAAAACCATTAAGAGAGAGAGAGAGAGGGCGAGTGGAAACAAAAATTGACTATTTGACTTTATGTTCATCGTCACC